TTTCTACTACTTTGTCGCGTGGAGGCAAAAAAAAAAAAAAAAAAAAAAAAAAAAAAAAAAAAAAAAAAAAAAAAAAAAAAAAAAAAACTGTACAGCCACTGTGGGAGTGTGTACATAAATGTATTATGTAAGAGAGAAAAGTGTGCAGCAGCACTGCTGTAATAACAATAACATATATATACACCGTGACGAGCAACTGGGAACGGAGGCCGGGACAACAATGCAAAGATTTTCGCCGTTGAAAGGGGAGAGAAAAGAAAAATAAAATAACAGCGAAGGTGGCGGCCTTAGCAAGTTATATGTATATGGATACCTGCGCTCGTAAATAATGCATTCGACTGCTTAAAACGAGCTCCCTCCTCGCGGATGGCACAAGAGGCATCAGGAAGGAGAGGAAAAGCTCAAAAGCCGCGCCGCGGTTCCATAGTCCCCCTGATATCGGCTCCTCTTTTCCGTTTGTCCTTTATACATATTTTTATTTTTTTTCTTCTCGAAAGCGTACATTATGTAACTATTGTATTTACATGTATATGAATGTATGTATGTATGTGCTTTAGCCACCACGAGGAGGGTATCGCTCCATTGTCTCTGAAGCGGCGCGGCGTCGTTTTAATGGTCGTGGTCGCGAGACTATTCGCGAGGTATTGGTGCATAAATATACGTGTATATATATATTATAAGTAGAAGCGTGATGTTTTACACAGCACGAGTGGTGTATATTTAACACGTATGGATGGGTAGTTGTTATCGCACTCGTGGGATGTATGTACCCACCTGGGAGCTGATAAGAGACGCTCTTGTGTCTACGTGTGCAAACAATAGTTGTAAATCAAGGGAAAAAATGTTGTAGGTAATTGATAAAAAATTTTTATTCAAATATTTATACAAAATAACCTTTCGTGGTTTCGTTTGAAACAATACGTTCAATTATCATCATGTTGCAATATTTTTTTTGACATTGCAAACATTTAAATACATTTTATGATAAAATCAAAGAGTGTCATTGCTTTGACGTAGGATGAGGAGAAAAATCGGCTGAACTAGCAACGATCGTCACGTATTCATTTTGAAAATACGACTTTTAGAAGTGTATAGTGCCGTTGTATTATTTTTTATAAACAAATGTATTATGAATAAAAAAAAAAATTAATTTTTTTAATTTCTTTGAATTATTGATACGTGACAGTTTAGACGGTATCTATATGAATTGCGCACACGTCAAATTCTGTTACAGGGTCGCATACGATCAGCTCTTTGATATTCCAAATTAAAGAGTTTCGCATATATTTTATTATTTGTTTAATTATATAATTTGGATCACGTATTCATTGGGTATATTAAATATATGATGATAATGAGCTCTTTACAAGAACATAGTGTCAATTGGTGTTTACAATTTTACGGTCTTTCCGATTTTTCATCCTGTAGTTCTGTCACGTCAAAATATTGAAAGGTGCCAAAGGTGAAAATACTTGGAATATATTTTATTAAATGCACGTGATCCCGATCTCCTACCTTGTTTTCTCATCTCCCTTGCAAAAGCCGAACAGCAAAGTATCACAAAGAAAGAGAGTAGGAAAAAAAAAAAAAATTAACACACAAAAGGCACTTTAGCACGCAAGTATGGTTGCACCCGACTCTTACAAATTCGATAGCTCATATCCAACTTCCGGGACGAAGTAATACGGCGAAAATAAAAGGAAAGCCCATCCTATGGATGAAAAACCGTAGAACGCATGCAACACGCATGACGCGTCCCGTTGAACGCTTTTCCACCGAGCTCTCGATCACGGGTTTCTCCATTAGCGAAAATCAAAGGCAGTGATATTAACAATGCGCGTAGCCAGTGAGCAGAGAATAAACAATGCGGCCACCCTCTCCGGCCGCTTGCATTTTACTCTGTGCACGCACTTTACTTATACCTTTTTTTTTTTTTTTTTTTTTTTTTTTTTTTTTTTTTTTTTTTTTTTTTTTTTT